TCTGACTGTACTTCCTTCCGCTTCTCTATTTCGTTCACGAAGAGCACTTCCTCCTTGAGTATCTGATTCCGTCGCGTCCATCATCTAAATACTTATTGTTAAAAAAAAAATGCTATTTTGAATGCTCTCTAATGTCCAATCTTTTATAACAAAAAAAAAAAAATAAGAGAAATAAGTACGCATACTTCAGCTTCCAAAAGTGTATCATCTTCTTGCAAAACAATATCAGGCTGTTCGATGCGCACTATCGATTTGCTCAGTAGTTTTGAAGCTTCATGAACGTGTTCCACTTTGACCTAATGTAAATTTAGCTTATTATAATAAAATCAATATTAAATAACTCTGGAAAGCAAATTTATAGTCTTGAATATACAGAGGAATAGCTGTGTTATTGTTAATCAGTAATATAAAGGAACAAATAAGAGTTGCAAATAAAATTTGGTTAATAAGCAAAATATTCAGGTAAAAACTTTAGAAGTTATGAACTTTTTGACATATATTTTTTGCAGGTGTATTGATGGTTAGCATTTAAGAAATGGATTAATAGCATGAAATTCACTTCGCCTTCACAATGAAGCCGAGCAAGTGCTTCGGAAAGTCGTATTAACGATTCTAATTGTCGCACGGTTATTCGCCAGGATGATGTAGTCGAATTATTACTGTCGCTCATACGTAAACGTTTATATTCAGAAACCAAAAGTATTGCAGCTGCATCACCAATCTACAAATTTGACGTATATTTTTTATAGGTTTTGATGCTTAGTCTTTACTCAGAATTTGGGATTTGTATTCACTTCAATTATCATGTTCCTTTTTTCTTGAAATATTCATACCCTCGGCTTGAAGCATCGAGCAAAAGTAATGTAACGATGGATATCGTCTAGACTGTATACTGTTTCTGGTTTTTCTTGGATTGCTAGCTGACGATGAGTGTCCAATATGCGCCGAGCTATAGCGTAATCTACGATCTGACAAACAGCTAGTAAGTTACCGCATATCAATTAACGAATTAAAAACTTGTAAAATACGAAAATGCCATCATTTCTTTCAGATGAAATTCATTAAATTGATCAGTTGCATTGATCAATAAAATTTGCTTTAAAATAAGCGACTGAAACCATCAAAAATCAAGAATAAATTGAAATATATTCATTTTTTGTTACTTTCGAACCATCAAAAAATTCAGCCTTATACATATTACGTTACCTCATTGCATTCATCAACTAGGATGAAGAAAAGATCAAATCTAGACATGATAGGTGCAGAAAGTTGTATGTTGTTCTTTAATGGCCGTGACCGATCGTAACGGCCACCAACCGGATTCGCTGCTGCCAAAATTGAAGC